TCAAATAAATCGCACCTCCCGCAACAAGCACTTTCAAACGTATGCATCCCCACTTCCCACCAATATTGGCACCATTTAAAATCCTAGTTCTAAGCTTCATTTCATTAAAGGAAAGGTTTTTACCCCAAAAATGTGTCTTTAGAAGGATCCAGAGTCACTTCTTCAAAAAATAGGCTATTACGCTTGAGCCAACTTTTATGGCTATAAAACTGTTAAGTTGGGATTAATCGGTATCCATCTGTTAAAGAGGACACGTGTGATCATTATTTGGTTTTATAACCATAAAATTTGGTCTAATTAATCCCACAGGTGAGCCCAAAGTGAGGTCTCTTTTCAAGTCACATTTATGGTATATGATAATCATTTATTTAGAAATTAAATGTGTTTTTCTTTAAGGATACTAGGGCACTATTTAAGTTGTGAGCCTCGACAACATAACGTGTTGTTAGACGACATCTGATACTTTTAAAGAAAAGTTTGACATTTTTGACTACAACCTTATTCAAAACTTTTTATCATTTGAGCACGTTTTGTATTATTAACATTGAATTGAAAATTATCTTGACTACAAAAACATGGAATTGACTTGCGGAAATTTTCGCGCGAAGATTTATTATGACTTTCGACGTGGTTAATCAATACAAAACTGAAGCGGTCAGCTAAATTTCACTTTTGGTGATAAAGATTTATCCTTTACCATTGTAAAACGCTAGTTTAAGAAGTATGATATTGTATGTCATTGGCTCACCAGTGAACTTTGCGAAAGTCGTCCAAAATGACTAATAGTGGCGGTAAACATTGATGTTGTCAGAAAAATGGAAGAGAAACCTCGACATGTGATATATCGTAGGATTGAGATAATCCTAGGCATTAATTCCACTAGCAGTAATAAAATTTTTTATGACCATATTATGGTTAATATGTTTTTTTCTCGCTGGATGTCACAAAATTTTTCAAACGCTCAATAGGACGCTTGTGTCGTTTAATCCTTGGAAATGTTTGATAAATACGTTCAAAAAGCTGTAAAAGCCGTTTTTAAAATTGTGACAGTTGACGAATTAAGGATCTATGCATAATAATCCTGAAAATAAACAGCTATCGACTATGGAGGTGTTTTAAGATGAACCAATTCCAACAAAAGTCCCATGCGCTCGGAACACTTTGAAACTTACGGTCGCCTATTTTTCCGAAATATCCGATTATATGACAGAAACGTCACTAGAGAAATTTAGAATGGCTAATTCTTAATAGTAAACAGCCACTTTTTTTCCAAAAGTCTTCAGTTTAATAAGGGAAACTGACCAGCATAGTCGAATCGCCATTCGTGACGAAAATGTGAGCTTTTACACGTCTCGTCAAACAACTGACTATTTGAACACTCAAAATATGAAATAAACAGGTCCAACGCTACAAAATTCTTGCTTGGAATCTAAACACTTCTTTTGGTACCCATATATTAAAATTAAACGCGTGAACAGCGATTTATGTAGCCAGAAGCAACTGTCGGTGCGGTCAAAAACCATGCTTTGGAGGTGCCTCAAGCTGAGTGGAAAAAATGCTATGAAAAGTATTTCGGACACATTAAAAAGTACATAAATCATGAAAGACAATACCAATAAACGCAATCAATACCATTTTAGTAATAAACTACTTTGTTTTCATAGTTAGGCTCACAACTTAAATAGTGTCCCACGTATTTATTGGGTTTTCAAATAACACCAATATTGTTGGGGCACCATGATTGTGTCAGAAGAAAATCTTTAAAGTTCGCGTCGCAGAAGGTGCGGTTTATTTGATGTTGAGTGTATTTTCGCGTAAATCTTCTACCTTATAGAGGCTTTATCGTTCTCGCAGTCGCAGTCAATTTAACATGACATGATACAAAGTAAACTATAGGAAAAGAAGACCACGTTAAGGTTTTTAAATACGCAACTAAGGAGACTCGGAACGTAAGGTATTTAGAAAAGTAGCAACTAATCATAGATGTCCTTCGTAGTCCTTATGATGCTTAAGTGGTACAATTTACTGAGTTGATTGCGCTTCTGAATAGTTTTAGCCTATTTTGAAATATATCATCACTCAAAGCTAGATTTGAATTCAAGCTTAGATTCAAGCCTGTTTCGTTAAATTCCAATTTAGGACTAAATCTAGGCTCCCAATTACTGCTGGTGTGAATTAATCTTTGCCTTGTAGATCTATCATACTAAAGTAAGTGCTATTTCAAAATACGGATCGTAGAGACCATGCCATATTAGCTAGATCAACTTAAGAGGTTCCTTTTAAATACAGATAGGTATATTAACCCACAGAAATGCCACCCATCCTACCCTGAACATGGCAAAAGTCGCATTGCTAATACTTCAACCACAACAACGCGAGCAGCTTGGGTGCGCGATGGCGATCAGTCAGATGAAGATCAGAACCTTTAATAGTCACCAATAAAGGAACTACTTGACTTGTGTAAAATTTAAATACGAAATAGGCCTGTTCACTACAAGAGTAAGCAAACATAAACATCTTGATTACGATTTCTTTTCCCACAGGTGCAGTAATGCAAATGCCTGCATCTAGAATCTAGACAACGTCCCTTTGGTCTATGATAATTAGGACGAAAGTGGTCTACTTTTTCTGAGATTATGTGCTCATGTGTGACCATATAAAACCACTTTATTTAATGGTGCTTTCACTAGTTTATTATGTAGAGCTTTTAAATTTTAAATTAAACAAGTCTTTGAAGCTTATACGAGTTCACATGATTATCGTAATACTGTCATTAGAGATCTTTAATTGCAAACGTGATTTTAAATGTAACTTCTTATTTAGTTGCAAACACAAACAATAGATTGCCATTTCATAGTGCATAACATTATTATTTATGTTGTGATGAAAATTTATTCCATTGTTGTAATGTTAGGTAGTTTCCTATTTACCTCAGCTACATATTTTAAAGATTATTTTTTTAATAAATTGACCTCGTACGTAGAGCTATTGGTTTGGTCTCCAGTGTGGGTTATATTGGAATACGAATAGCTTTCGTGGGGGACTCACAACTAGCTCACAAAGAATTCAATCATAAGAATACAGGAGTTCTAATTTACTTTAATATTATCTTATGTATACCTTATTCTGCCTTTACCAATGCTTGCCGATCATCAGGTCATGTTACGTATCGGATTGTGCGGCGGAACCGACCCATATCTTTCCCACGAGATGTCTACAGGTGCTGGGTTCGGTTACCCTTAGCGGTTGGTTACGTGACGTAAACCGTTTGCAACTTTAGTTAAATATCATAGAATAACTTCGAATTTAAAAAGACAAAGGATCAATTCCGATATCTCTTCTTAAGAGACCAGACTTGAATGCATTGATCGCCATCGCTGCACTCCGGCTGATCGCGTGTGATCCGTTGGTTTGGCCGAACCTTTAAATGCATTGATCGCCATCGCTGCACGCCGACTGATCGCGTGTGATCGCGTTGGTTTGGCTGAACCTTAAGTCTGATCGCCATCGCTGTACACCGGCTGATCGCGTGTGACTGAAGAACCTCTTGACATACAATAACGATCGTGTATTTCTTCTTAGCAAATCATAACACTAAATTAATTCTATAAGGTGTTGTTTATGATTTTTACCATTATAAGACGCTTTGTAAGAACTGAGCGATACAGTTCTTAGAATTGTTTTCGTAGGTATCGAATTTACTACAATGGAATCAGTTTTTTTACGCTTTTATCCAGGAAACAATATCATTAGATCTAAACACAAAGACCTTACAAAGATAACCCCACCATAAACTAGCGACTGATGGTACGTGACAACATTGTTTCAACTACAAAAACTATATCAATTGAATTGGATAAAGCTCGCTTCCTGTGTATTATACGGCTCTCTCACAATAGAATTCGATGCAAGAACTGAGTACACGGTGAGAGATTACATTTTAATACCAATTGTGGGAAAGCTCTGGGCTAATGGGCATTGACATTAGATGGTAATGATGAAAACAAGCTTTTCTATCAAGTTGAGACATTAAGCAGGATTATTCTAAAATACCTGTGTGTTTCGTACGCGTGAAAATAGTTTGAATGATATTTCCCCTTTAGTCTTTACTGCTCTGCCCCTGGGCTATTGGCTGTAGGGTGGTATAGCCTATTCTTCCTCGATAAATGGGCTATCCAACAAAAACTTAATTTTTCAAATGGGACCAGTTCCTGGATATCAGCAACCATATTTTTGTGATCAACTCGCTGTGAAGTTTGAAAAAAAAATCTTTTTCAATTAGACCATAATTTTAATATTTTTCATGATGAAATTTAATACATAACGATTACTTTAGTTGTGCTATTTTTGATAATGTTGTGTGACTTTTACGCATGACTGTGAATATGCATGAAACTTTTTGTGTGACCTAATTAATAGAGTTCAATATTTATGTGTATTGGAGTTATTTTATTTCTTAGTTTAAGGAAATTTAATTCCTTACAGCTGTAAAAAGCTTCATTATTGTTTAAGTTGTTTGTTTTTTTTTTATATTAGAGTGTCTACTGCCCTTAACCTCTCGGTTACGAACTAGCTACGAATATGCTATCAATAGAAACACAATTTATGTATGGTACCTCGCACCTTCAGCTTCACACTAAATTAAAAAGTATGACCGAGTGGTTAAGTGGACAATCCTAACCTCAATGATCTGAGATCCTAACAGTCACATAGCCCAGAACTTCGGTTGGTAACGAGTAAAATCATGACAAATGACGGACGGTCAGATGTCTGCTATCTATTGAGTCTTTAAAACGAATGTTGGAATTAGATGGCTAACTCAAAAACTTAGCATCGGCCGAAGTTCTGGACTATGCAGAGATGCAGGACTCACCCCCTATAGTCATTCCAAAGGACTACAGGATGATTTAAATCCTGATGTTTCTCTGAGGCCAGGGGTTAGGCTGCATCCATAAGTCTCCTACAACCTTTCGTCAATTAATTTCAACGTCTCATTACAGATGATGAAGGAGGCCACATCAAGCAAGGCTACGAGTCGCGGAGACAGAACGACTTGTACGTGCGCCTCGGCCTTTTGCTCGGCGAGCGGCGCAGCGCTCGGAACAAGGCTCGGGACAGCTGCACGTCCCTCGCGTCTCTGGACGCGCATACGCTGGCCTCACACAACACTAGCCCGGTAAGTATCATGTTAGAGAAAGAATGATCTGTACGTGCGCCTCGGCCTTTTGCTCGGCGAGAGACGCGGCGCTCAGAACAAGGCTCGGAACAGCTGCAAGTCTCTCGCGTCTCTGGACGCGCATACGCTGGCCTCACACAACACTAGCCCGGTAAGTATCATGTTAGAGACTGAACGACTTGTACGTGCGCCTCGGCCTTTTGCTCGGCGAGCGGCGCGGCGCTCGGAATAAAGCTCGGGACAGCTGCACGTCTCTCGCGTCTCTGGACGCACATACGCTGGCCTCACACAACACTAGCCCGGTAAGTATCATGTTAGAGACTGAACGACTTGTACGTGCGCCTCGGCCTTTTGCTCGGCGAGCAGCGCGGCGCTCGGAACAAGGCTCGGAACAGCTGCACGTCTCTCGCGTCTCTGAATGACTTGTTGGCCGCTTGCTCGGAAAGTATTATGTTAGAGGCAAAATGACCTGTACGGCACCTCGGTCTCTTGCTCGTCTCCACTGTAAGAGCATGACCCTATTTAATTTACCAGAGGCAAATGCAGGACTAGTCCGACACTCCCCACTTTAATTTCTATAAAAGTGGTGACAATAATCCAACTGTTTTGTTATCAAATTGCCGCGCCAATTCGTTCATATGCTAGTTCGATTTCTATCGCAACTGGCTATTGTGCTGAACGTAACCATTTTGTTGATTCTAATGCTGCCTCTGACACTTAATTTGACTCTAATACTATATTTTTTTCCAGGTGTCAACTCTAACAGGCTCCTCGGAGGTGGAGGCAGCCACGCCGTTAGGGCGAGATTCGCTCGGCTCTCTGGCATCAATGTCGCTCTCCGCTGCCAGCAACTGTTCCTCTTCCAGCCCTGGCAGCAGGAGGCATTCCGTCAATGGTTAGTATTGTATTAATTCCATCTATTAGAAGGGTATTTGATGTCACCAATCAATACTTATTTCGTCCACTTAAGCTTTCGCGTTTATCAGGATAAGCTTATTTTTCCACTGCTATCCAAATCTATCTATGAAATCAATCTAGATGAGTTTGTTCTTATAACACATGATTTTAATGCTCTCATAATTTAGCAAGAAAATTAAACGGTTTTGAAAACTTCTGCATAAAAATGTTGACTTATTCTTTTTTAATGACCAGTGTATCTCACTATCATTATAATTACACTGATCCATCTGGAAAACAGAAAATCATTAACATTTTAATGGTTGCAATAAAAGCTTTTTGTCTGGACAAAATAGTACTCCATTTTATTATTTAGCCAATGTAAATGATCATCTTGATGGCCATAAGGCTAATACTAGCATCATTACTGATCCATTAAAGGCAAGAATATGGAAATGAATTGATGCAGGTTGTTAATACTAGTACCTACACTTTGCATTTAATTTCTGACCTATAAAATTAATTTCCTGATTACTATAAACTGGCAATCATAAACTTTGTAACCTGATTCTTTTATGATTTAATGTAATGTAATGATGCGCAAGAATAGTCCGTATTCGTAAATGACACTCATCCCAAATAAACTATAGTTTCAGACAGCAACACACCAAGTGCCTTTAAGTAGCTGTTAGGTGGTATATTACCAATAAAATTTATAGTATGATGTGCTGTGTTCTTTACAAGCGACAGCAGATCTCGTTATACAATTTAGTTGCAAAAAATAGCACTTAATACAAAATAATCAGAGTGCCACAGAGTTTTTTCGCTTGATGTGTCGCAGTCGTCGCCACGTCATTTTCACACTTAAAAATCTGCCGTTTGCGTCTGCCAACAGAAAAAACTTATCAAAATATGATCCCAAACGTCCTTCTACATCATTAAAGTTAAATATTTTTTCCATCATCCACAGCTTTACAAAGCGGCAGGTCGGAAGAGTTGACCCGCATGTCCAGTGGTTTCTTCAAGACCAGGAAGACTGCAGCCAGAAGGTCTGCGAGGGTCAGCAGCAAACAGTCCTCGTCTTCTTCAGAGATTAAAAAAGGTATTATTATCTTCAATTGCTATCTTCAATTGTTTTATCTACACACGCCTTTTCTAGCGTTTATTTTCTAGTGTTAAAGCTTTTACATAAGGGGCCATCCATAAAGTACGTCACACGAATTTCATGATTTTTTGAGCCAGTTTGTCATTGTCACAGGCGGTCACATTTCTGAGACCTAAGTAAGAAATAAGATCAAGACGAAAAGTAGGTACCTACTTTACAAAATTTCAGGTTATTTTTAGGACAAATGCTTACAATTTCAAAATAAGCCGTTGAAGGACTACATCTGATTCTGTTATATTATCCGTAGCGTATAATGTGAGAAGCTCTCGAAACAAGCCGGAACCTAGAGTGTGATAAACACCAATTTTCTAATTGAAACGTTCATGTGTTATAAAATTATTACCTTCAAAATAGATTACGGTAATGTGAAATTTCCTTTGCCTTCCAACACATTGTAATTTGACCCTTACGTTAAGAGGAATAAGAACTTAGACTTAAATTCTTCTGCAAGTACGTCAATAACCTTTACGAATATTTCAACATCAAATTAGAGTTAACTAACAGCAATAATAATAAAAGCCAACAATAAAAATAGGCTTCTATCCTCGTAACGTACACGTAAAGTGACACAAGGTCTAGCAGTTTAACTAGTTGAAGTCTTATCTGATTATTTTAACGAATTCAGGCTTCAACATGCCAGCGTTTTGCGCAAAAGCAAGCGAGTTTGCGTGATATTGCAAATTGTAATCACGACCCCGTTTTGCAGAAAAAATATTCCATTCAAGCTCTACCTGTTTCAGTCATTTGGGAGTTAAATATCGTTGACAGTGACAGAAATTAATAATTACTTTTGGGACTTGTGAAATAAGATATTTATGAATGAGAGCTGCAACGTACTGAATATTGGTTTCTCCCTTTTTATGAGGTCTTACACAAGTCTGTAAAGTTTCAGTGTGTTGATTACTAATGAGTCTTTAAAGTTATGCTCTGGTTTTTGTGTCAAATGAGCCTTAACGAGCTTTTAGTTAGGCTATAAGCTTCTTCAAAATTATCGTCAATCATAACACCAATCTTCTTTATAATTATAGGTATCAAAGATACCTCGATTATTAAAATCATACTGATCGTATCTTTTGTTACAGTTCACCCAGCCCCTCAACTGACGCTACGACCTTTATTCTTCGAAGTTCCATCCACCGACAGCCAAAGTTGTTTCTCAGGCCGCCAATGGCTGATGAAAGACATGGAGAAAGCATTGGAATCAAGTTCCTCAGGTAACTATTATTCCAGCATTAGCTTGATGTTAAACACAGAAATGTGTATTGTATTGCGATCTTTTTATTTGAAAAATGCAATAGTTAAAGACCATGACCTTCTGTTTCAGGAATCATGATCTCAGGGTGTCCAGGCACAGGAAAAACTGCGCTAATACTGCAGTTGGTGGAATATTCCTGCTTTGGTCGGAAGAGGAATTACGAATATGAGGAGCTCAGAGAACAATCAGACATCAGGGAGTTACTACCTGAAGAGTTAACAGCAGGAATGTTTACTCATCTGGCTTCACACGTCGTTGCTTATCATTTTTGTCAGGTAAGTGATAAGAAACCTCTTGAAAATCTTGAATCAGATTACTAAAGTAATTCTATGAATGTTATCTAATATTTATTTTTATTTCAGGCTGACAACAACAGCACGTGCTTGGTTGGAGAGTTCGTCCATTCCTTAGCAGCACAACTTTGCCAAGCCCCGAGGCTACAAGCTTACAGAGAATATCTCCTCAGTGAGCCACATCTGCTAGCATGTCTTTCACTCAAAGAGTGCATCGCAGACCCAGACCTAGCCTTCATGAGAGGCATCATCGAACCACTTAACATTTTGAGGAAGAATGGAAGCATTGACACAGGCAATAGCATCATTCTTGTCGATGGCCTTTGCGAAGCTGAATACCATAGACCAGATCACGGATATACCATTGCATCTTTTATCGCAAGACACATCGCTGAAATGCCAACATGGCTCAAAGTTGTAGCTACAGTCAGGACGCAATTCCTAGAACTAACGAAACAGCTGCCATACACACGACTAAGTCTAGACGAATCTGATAACGTCAACAAGGATCTACTTGAATACTTCAACGCGAGAGTTCAAGCCGCGCCCATTATAGAGACAAACATCAAATGCTCTACTGGAAAATCCGAAGGAGTCCACAATTCTGTATTGAAATTCGCACAATACGTGCTACATTTGAGCCAAGGCTCGTTTTTGTTCCTGAAACTAATTTTAGATTTATTAGAAAAGAGTCATATCGTTGTGAAGTCGACAAACTACAAGGTGGTGCCGATATCTCTAGCACAGATCTTCCTACTACAATTCAATTTACGGTTCCCAACAGTACAATCGTTTGAGAAAATCACGCATATTTTGAGCGTGTGCCTAGCAGCTCTCTATCCGCTAACTTTAGTAGAGATTTACTATTCAGTAAACTCATTGTTAGTGAACACTTTTCTACCGTGGGATGAATTCTGTGATAGATTTGAAAGCCTCAGTGAATTCTTGGTAAAGAGAATCGACAATACCTACATGTTTTTCCACCCCTCGTTCAGGGAATGGTTAATACGAAGAGATGACAATGAAAGCTCTAAATTCCTGTGTGATTTGAGGGCGGGGCATTGTGGAATAGCGTACAGGCTATCTAGGGTACAAGCACCGTTAGATTCAGAGAAGTCAATGGAATTAGGACATCACATTTTGAAAGCCCACATGTACAGAAACCTTGGTCCAGCTCAACTAGGTTTGTGCCCTAGAGATTTACAAGCGATGATGGTAGCCACAAGTTCAGCCAATGTTGGTGAAGCTATTGCCCATTTGAGAAACATTTACACGCCTAATGTGAAAGTATCTCGGCTGATGCTTTTGGCTGGTGGATCTCCAAATCAGATCACAGAATGCCTTGGAAATGCTCCGTTATTATGCATGTACGCGTATCAAGGAATCCTTGCAATGGTCGGATTGTTGATAGAGTTTGGAGCAGATTTGGAAATGACCAACTCCCAAGGATGTACTGCGTTATCTTTGGCATGTCAACGGGGTCATGTCGATGTTGCCAGAAGACTTATTGCTGCAGGTATGCTTATCTACTAAATCTAAAATTTTGCATGCAAATAAATGTATGATTGAAAGTATAGTTAACTTTAATTGTATTTTCTTTTCAGGAGCATCACTAAGTCACACAGATACAGCAGAACAAACACCACTAGTGCATGCAGCTAAAAATGGACATAGAGATACGGTGATCTACCTTCTCGGCTGCCAGACTGGAAGGGATGACAGGAATTCTATAGACATAGATGAAGAGAACATAGAACAGCTAGTCCCAGGGTCCAGACACGCTCTCATTGCTGCAGCGCAGAATGGTCACTTGGACATCGTGGAGTATCTGCTAGATACTGCTGAATTAATAGTAAGTCTTCATTCATAACTAAATATTTCTCACGTCGTGTTTCGCGTTTCTCAAGCCGTGTGGTGACGGCAGAGTAGAATACATTTGTCACCAACCCCTACTCTTCCCGCGGGTGTCGTAAGAGGCGACTTAGGGACTGCACATCAAACAGAGAATAGGCAGCAGCGCTCTCTGAAAAACATCAATCTTTTAAACTGCGATCTCCAACTGCCAAGCGTGGAGATTATGGCGAAACCCTCCACTATAGTGGAGGAGGCTCATAGTCCAGCAGTGGACTGTAAAGGGCTGTTGATGATTTCTCACGTCATAGCTTCTGGTGTTCTATGATCTTTCCTTTCTCTGATTCTTGTATTAAGTTTAGATGTTCTTCTTTGTAGCCCGACGGTATCTGTCCAGTGACAGGCGAGACTGCGTTGACAGCTGCGTGTTCAACTGGCAACGCTGCTATTGCTGACGCTCTCCTCATCAGAGGAGCGACTCCATACTCTTTAAATGCCCGACAGATGTCGCCTTTAGCACTAGCTGCTAAGAATGGGAGAACAGCACTGGTTTTGAGGCTATTGGATTCGGGCGCTGATGTCATGGGATCGGGAGGGAAGAACCCTTTGACTTTGGCAGCAGCGGAGGGACACGCTGATGTAGTGGAGATGCTTCTAAATCATGGTGAGTTCTTGCAAGATACTAAAGATTATGAAGAACTAAGTACAATTTCGATAAAGATTTTAAATTAAATAAGAACAGTCAATTTTCACTGTACCAAACTTAAAATTTGCATGGAATTTATTGTCATAAACTTAAAATTAAATAATTTCTTCAAACGTGTGCGACCTTAGTAGCTGTTCTATTTGTTATTTTCGTGGATAACGGTGCTGGTTGTGCATTTATTTATGATATATCTGTAAGACTTTTTGTAAAACCGTTTGTACAATTGTTTGTTGTCCCTAATAAAATAAAATAATAAAACAAAATAAAAGACAGAAAATTAGCATAATAACACAGAAGAGGTCAACTTTTCTGGCACTAGTCTATTCAGATTGTATTATTCGTAGTTTAGGATGATAACATGAGGTAAATGGTTAAATAGGTGCGGACCCTGACGCGGTGGATGCAGATGGAATTTCGCCTCTGGGATGGGCGTGCTTAAGATCAAGAATACCGACAATGGTCGTATTGTTAGACAAAGGCGCTACCATTGGTAAGTTCTCCATTTAGATATAAGTGAAATGTTGATATCCCATGTATGACAGTCTACTAAAACAAAAGAAAAACATAAAAACTGTTGAAGTATCGACCATCGAAACACTCTTTAAAAATACACAATCTAATAATACCTACAATTTCTTTTATTGCAGACCAACCCGATCTCAGTGGAAGGACTCCCCTGGGTCTTGCCTGCGGTGGCCCAGCTGACCTCGTGGAGATTCTTCTAGAAAGAGGAGCTTCGTTGGAGAAGGTGGATCACAGCGGCTTAAGGCCTTTGGACAGAGCTATTGGGCAGCGGAATGTTCATGTTAGTATAGTATAAAAGTTGAAATTTCAAAATTATTGTGCTTAAAAGGTCGGACGGACTTTTCAATAACCGATATAATTCTTTGCAGGTCGTCAACTGTTTCCTTAGAAAAGGTGCGAAACTTGGCCCCACTACTTGGGTTATGGCGTCAGGCAAACCAGAATTTATGTAAGTAGTAATACGATACACTTGTTAAAGGCCCAAATGTACTTACATGATTGTTTAGCAATATTAAGCAACTAAAAGGTCATTTAAAAAAATCCATTACAACTTTGGTTGACTTTAGCGATGACACTGTGGATAAAAATAAAGTTCAAGAAGATGTTCTACATGCAGAAATTAAATATGAATCATCTTTATTCCCCAGGCTAATACTGCTCAACAAACTATTAGAAGACGGAAACATGTTGTACCGCAAAAACAGACCATCGGAGGCTGCCCACCGCTACCAATACGCGCTGAAGAAAATCAACACACTGATCAGCGACGAAGGTCTGACCACGTCGGGAGCTCAGCCAGTGCCTCATGAACACGTGTCAGCTTTTGTGCAGCTGAAGACACATTTGCTGTTGAACTTGTCGAGGTGCAAGAGGAAATTGAATGTAAGTCACATCAGTCATTGTTTTTCGAAACTGATAATAAATTATATCTTCGAACATTGATATTGAATATTGATGACGCCTGCTTGATGCTGACGCGAATATTACAAGATGGCGAGTAGCTACATGAAACTGTTACAGTTTGATAGTTGACTATCATTTGAATATTTCAGGCAGCTTGCTGCAACTTTCATAAAATTATTTAGCTTAAAGTTTGTAAAGATCCTTAAATTTCAGTAGATTAAATACTCAAAAAGATCTAAAAAATTGTCATTATTGATATGAATAGCATAAAAAGTGTTGATAAAACTCCAATATAATAAAATCCATTTCTTTCTTTCACAGGAACCATCAGAGGCTTTAGACCTAGCAGCTCGCGCGTCAGTTCTACGTCCAAACGCTTTTGAGTGCGCATACGCTATGGCCCGAGCCATTCTAGCATTGAACAAACCCTCCGAAGCCCTACCCCACGCCAGAAGAGCTTTACTCCTAGCGCCATCTACAGACATGTCAGCCGTGAGAACGCTAAAGGCCCTACAACAAGAGATTCTCACAAGGATCAACGCTGGGTCTCATAGTCTAAATGGTGACACTAGATCTATGAGAAACTTTGACACCATCAGCTTAAATATGCCTTGAAACTGACATTTATTTATGTACTATAACAAAATTAGCAATATGGAATATATCTTACGTGTACATAAAAATGTAAATGATCAAACATTCGAACGAAAGCGAACGATTTTGTAGGGGTAATAAAAATGCTTTTAAATTTTGATTAAAATAGTTATCTGATCAAGATTTAATTGTTTTCATTTAAGTTTAAACTTATAAACATGATTTACTTACATAATGCCACCTCACTGTACTTTTATTTTAAGTTCTATTTACTGTTTTAATTGTATCAATAATTTGTATTAATCTAATATGTATAATGCTATTTGTGCAGATATAGTGATATCTCTTATGTTATGTGATGAAATATGTTACTATGTAAATAGTTGTAGTCCTACTTATTACATTTTATGATTGACATTGTACATTGTCTTATTTTATTCATTTTAGTTAAGCCTCGAATATAATTGTCATTTTGTATTATTGCTTGCCATGGACACTTTGGAATGCTTTAATTTTTTGTTACGTTTAAATAAAACAATAGAAAAAATATTAAAATTAATTGGTGCCTTAATAAATTCAAGTTAGAGAAACAATGCAATGTATATTTAAATATTTTTGTTGTTATTATTTTTAATAGGTTTTGAGTGAAACTCATTTGCCCGCGCCCTTGCTTTATTTTAATTTATTAAAGACAAGTTTTATGAAAAATAATTTGTAATAAAATTATGTAGGCATGTGTTTTTGTGAGTTTTGGATGACATTAGAGTGGTTTAAAACTTTAAAATAATTTTCTATTCTATTTATTTAGCGTTTGGTGAAATTTTAAATTTAAAAGTTAGATGAAATTTACAGTAAATTAATGATGATTTTCATAAAATGTTTGTTAATTACCATGTTTTATGAATTATTCCTTGGTGGTAAATATTAAATTAATTTTTTGTTTAGTGTGTCCTATATTTTTTCCAAAATACTGTATTTAAATACAGATAGAGTACTTTTTATAGGTTAATAAATTTACCTTGTTTGAGCTATAACTGTATTAAAAAATATAAAAACTGGTGTAACGTTTTGGATTTTTATAAAGACTGACATAAAATTGGTGACATTGAAAATGCTGAAATCACCGTATTGTAGACAGTTAAGGAGTATTTTAAGTACAATAGTTACTGTGACAGTACATAATTACTTTAATTATCTGAATAAAAATTTCATATTGCTTTATAAGATTTTTGATTTAAGCAACCCTACTGCTATAAGCTTTAGGCCCAGAACAGACGGTGAAACGTAACTGCAACGAAACTGCAACTTTGTGATGATTCTGATGAATGAAACTGAAAGTTTCAAACTGGTCGCGTCATGTGTGGTCTCTCAACGGACGCTATGGCAGAAAAGATGCAACTCAAAAGTAACTAGCAGTTGCAGTTTCGTTGCAGTTGCGTTTCACCGTCTGTTATGGGCCTTAGTGTGCATAAGTGGGTAGTTTAAGTAAAGGTTTATTTAAATTATACGATTATTTTGTACATAAATGACTATAATCACAATTCACACTGAAGTTCTATAACTTCAAATAACAAAATTAAATCTTACATAATCTAATTTAGAGTTTCAAATGCCCTAAAAAGAGTACTTAAACAAATATTATGTGCAGATTCCTGTTGTGCATTTTGACCACTAGATGGCGCCAATTTGGTATTTCATTTAAAATTCGATCGAAATACAAGTGCTACTTGTAGAATACTTCTCAACTAAAGCCCGGTCTGTGAGCACGTAGAATTTTGTGCAATGACCCCAAGCTACGCATCCTTATCGCTCGCACGTAATTATATTGCTGTCGCGACTGTGCCACGGGCGGCCGCAGTGAGTGTGCGAGCGCGACAGCAACATAATTACGCGCGAGCGATAAGGATGGGTAGCTTGGGGTCATTTGACAAAACTCTACGTGCTCGCAGACCAGACTATAGACTGTCAAATTGATAAAATCCTACAATCCACAGCAATCTAAGGCATATTTGGGAACATTGGTACAGTGGGCAGAGTGGGCTTTGTAACTGGTATTTTACCGTGAAGTAAATACGATGACGTTTGAAAGACGCCATTTTCGTACGGACCGGACGACGCAGTGTTGCCACGTAGCAAATCATTCCTTGTTCTCATATACACTGGCAATATTACTGGTATATTTTTAGTTGTTTTTAGATCTATTACTTCGACTGGGGGGATGTTAGTAGAGTTTAGCATTCCAAAATTGTATAATGGATTTGTTCGTTTGTATACTGTTTTTTTGGCTAATTGAGATGAAGGTAGGAACATATGATTGAAGTGCTGGAGAATAGAGTTTAGTTTCTCTTTGGTCACGTTCTGATTGTCGTTGACCGGCGCTGTGTTGGTCATGTCAATGAGAAGTTGTATGCATTGCGGTGACTTACTCCGTTTTGTGACTGGACATGTCTGAAAAGATGATTAAATAGGTAAGTATCATAGTATCAGCCATAGACAAGAAAAAAAGTATGTAAAGTTACTAGATGAGCATTACAAAATAAGGATAAAATATGGTTTCAAAATGGTAGGCAAAAAGTTTCAATCACGATGATTGGTGATTGATCAAAATCTTAATTTTGTTAAATTTCAAACAAGAAAAAGGCCACTGGCCACTGTCTGTCTTGCAATCCTTTCTCGACTGACTATCCCATAAGTAACAAAAACAATTGTATGTTTTCTGTTGGCCCAAAGGTTAACTAGGAGACAATGTCACATGGCATTAAGTTCGCCTTTTGTGTAATCAATTTGTATTCTCTTTAAATTTTTAGCTCGTGGAACCTTGAACTTGTGTTCGCATGAGACCGCGGTAAGAAATTATTTCATTTACTCTATTTGCTGGCATTTACTGGTACTTGAAGGGTTAAACGAACGAACGAACGAACGAAGGGTTAAATAAAAAAACACTACATAAAACTAACCATCAGCATAGCATCAACCACATTGAGAAGTTTCTTCGGCGAATTACAATGCTCTCTATACAAAGGCATCCCACTGAACGCGTTTATGTAAACGTCTAAGAACGGAGACCATTCCTGGTGCTTGCTGGTGAAGGATCGGATGCGGTCCTTCATCTTGAAGTAGTCCATGAAACCGTACGTGTTGAGGATTCCCATCTTCGTCATTATACAGGCGGTGGGCGGGGTTGAGTCTTTGCACTGGAATAAATTATTAACAGTTAGGTACGTTTGTTAGCGACGTCAACCGAGAAAATACGCTAATTTATTAATTAGAATTGATTAGCAACATTAACAATCAGAAAATGTACTAAAATAATCAATTAGAGTCGATTAGAGATAAATAACATTCCATCTCTTTCTCACATTATCTGTCATCTCGCCAGCGCTCTCAAACACACACAAACGCATACAGTCCACTGCAGTCCACCACAACAACGTCATAAAAACGATCGAACGAACAAAAGGGATAGTACACTAATACCTATAATGACTTTTTGTATAGGACCACAATTTGAAACTTACTCACACTTTCCCATACAAAATAGTAACAGCAGGTCAGACTATGAAACGCCATAGGCGTCTATCGGACGAGAATAAACGTGCCCTCCAAAGAAAATATTTTATTTATTTTAATTAGAATTATTCATGCCTGCAATCATTCAGGTTATTTAGGTATTAAGACTCTACTGTAGGAGCAACACCTTTTCCAATTTACCATTATGCAAAAAATGTGGCTTACACTCACTTGCGCTAACCAGACGGGTCGGGAAGGTTGTCCCTTAATCGCTTCTAGTGATGCAACGAATACTACTTTTACGAATACGAATATTAAATCTACTATACGGAACGATTAGGTGTTCCTATTCTTTCATTGATTCTTTCAACTCTTCCAGAACCACATGGTCAATTATCTATAGAAGACAACATAAATAAGCTTACTGTCAACTGTTCAAAGACTTACCGCATATTTAGAAGTCCTCCACCCCTGTACTAGCTTGGGCTTGTTCTCCGGGACGTACTCGGAGCGACTGATGGACGTGACGCCACACTCTGACAGCACTTCACTGTTTACCAAGTTGGGAAGGCCGCAGATGGCTCGGCGGTTTTTCTGTAAGATATTTGAGAAAGAAATTAAAACTTTTAGCCTGTCGCTGATAACATAAAAATACGAGTAAAAAACAACAAGCACAAAAAAACTGGAACATTAGAAATTAAAAAAAAAATACCATAAGTTATCGTAAAATATTACAATAATTTATTCGGACTACGAGAATACAGGAAAATAATTAATCAAACTATCATGCACTATCACGGTAAAAAATATAAGTTTACTTACAGGTCTGTATCTTGATGTACTTATCTGACAGACCGTATTGTTACGTCTTGAGTGTCTGAAAAAATATTCAAGACTTTTATATTAAGTCCATAATAGTGAGGAAATTCAAAATTGGTTAAAATTTGATTAATTTAAATACCTGCATGAGTCATTTTTACTCCCATACGGGCAATTCTGAAAAAAATCGCATAATTGTAAATAAGACTGAAACAAACCCTAAAATTACAAAATATTTCTTCAATGATTCTCATTTAAGGTCATAGCACCCGGAAAGGGATCAACACCGTATCGCTTTTCGCCGCGAGGCGAGGCGTTTACGTTATGGTGCGAATAAGGGTACGTTGCAGTACGTAGTTTCATACAAAGAATACAGACCGCATCGAGTTGATACGGTTACGATCCGCTTCCGGGTTGATAAGTGTGCTTCGTTCTTTAAACTACCCCTAAAGACACTGTAAATATGTTTATGCAATATTTATTAACAACATGGACTCTTACGCACGTATTCACAAACGATGCTTGCATAAATGAAGCAGCAAATCGAACGCACAGCGTTGAATAGAGCTCTGTGACTGTGCGTCCACGCGCACTGTGAGACCTCTTTAATGTTTGTGAATACGAGCGTTAGACTTCATGAAAAAGTGGAAAACTGTACCCCTTTTAAAAACCTTACCTCCGAAAGCACATCGAGCGTACAAGCCAACAGCTTATTGATCTCACAATCACCCTGGTACCCATGGTTAGGCCTGCTAATACACATGGTGATGACCCTGGCCTTAGCTTTTGCCCAAGCCGGGTGCACTCCCGTGAAATTGTCCAGAAGCTTCGAGAAAGCATCCATGTCTACGGAACCTGATTCTGAGACAATATTCAGCTTTCGGAACACGCATGTTTCTTTTTCGCACTGAAAACGGAAGAAATGTTATAATAGGGTAAGCTGCCAGTGATATGACACTTAGGGGAGTTATTGGACAGTTATTTTATTGGTTATTTATTGAACAAAAATAGCATTTCTATTCCAACAACTGAGAGGTTCCAACTGTTGGGGACAAAAGGGTGTTAAGTTGAAATTTGCATTTGAAGGAATGTTAATTTTAAGAAAATTCAAGGGGTGTTTTGTCCAAGGACTGGCAGTGTCCAATGACTGTCGGTTCACCCTATAATATTATTATTGCGCACTGGAAAAAAAACAATCCTAGCTACCTAGGCATGTGGTTCTCTGGAAGAGTAAGAGTGGTTCTATTTCCACGCTTACTCTTCCAGAGAATGGTGATAAAATTGAGGTAGACATTATTGGGAAGCTCCAACCTTGAATATCCTTTTGGTAGAGTCGAGCGATAGCAAACATCGCGATGCTTTTGTCCGCGTGTTCAAATTATCTACATCTAATATTCCTCACTGCAATTAGGACTGTTACAAAATCAATGTAATAAATTGTCCTACCTCTCCAAAGGTAATCGCCGTTATCTATTTATACGGGAAGCTATTTTAGCCTACAATGTTTGGTCAGTTTAATCAAAGCAAGATAATTTAAACATTTTAAAACGTCTAATTAGTTTATCTGAGAACTTCCCAAGTTTTTCTCACATTTATTTAATTATCATAATCACCTGCATGTGTGATGTAATCCAATACTATTAGGAACTCGATACTAAAACTTCAAGCGTTAAAACTACTCACAGACAATGGCACGACCCTCACATCCTTGTTCACCGGAGCGGGGGTAGTCGGAGGCACGGTAGTGGTCGCGGCCAAGTTCTCGGCAACATTCAGACGGGAGCGCTTGTCCCAGTTGAGGTTGAAACCGCACTCGGATTGCCAAGACGGGTCAATGAAGTCTGACATGTCGCAGCATGATAGTGCGTCGTTATTGTTTTCCTGAAAATGTTTCAGGATTTGTAAAATTGTCGCTTTAAAATAAGAGCCCATAGAAAAACAGAATAAGCAGGGGAAAGGCGCTGGATGCAAGCCGCTACCAACCGGTCATTATGGAAATCATTGGGGAACGGCCAGTCCTAGATCTGTCAATAGGCCGTATAGGCCGCGGACTAGAGGGCAGCGTCCTAGGGGCGGCAGATTTCAGATGACGCTTACTCGATTTCAGAAGATAAAAGTTAAATAAAGATCCAACCCCACCCTAGCCTACGGGCGGCAAAACTGTAAATCTGCCACTGGGAACAGCTATGTTCAGCAGTGGACGTCTTATGGCTGAAATAATGATGATGAGAAAAATAGAATGGATAAAAGTTTAGGTGATAATTAAATAGTTACGCAAACGGTTAGGCAGTTTGACCTGAATCTTTAAGACAGTTAAGTTAATTCAGTATCTGCATGTTTGGACACATAATTTTAAAGTTACCTTACCTCAGGATAAAGAGATACAATTCGCAACTGGTCTTCATCGTCTTCAGGTCGCTTTTCGGTTACGGGAATCTGGAAAATATTTTCTTATTAATAGAAAAGAAATATTATTTCATGATACTTATCCAAAAATAATTTAAAGTAACACTTACGCTATTAAAATCAAAGATTCTAGAGTTGTGTTTGATTGCTTTTTGCGTAGTTGCGTGTTTCTGAAAATAAATTATATTAATATTGCAATCATTAAGACATCAGATTCGACAGCACATCAGTTTATACACATATTTATTCCAAAATAGTTGTTATTACAATTACACAAGGTACCAGGATGTTAACCTTGATGTGCCATCGTCTGTACAAACAAGTTATAGGTAAGTTTTTATCGTAGTGAACACGAGAACAATGATATCGTTGTAATTCATTAATATTAATGATATAAATATTCATATCTTAATACGATTTATGACATAATTTATTAACCAGTGTCCTATTTTTCACCTACTTGTATGATGGTTTAAACGAGTTCCTGTATAAAGTCTTAAATCCAATGCGAACATATAAAATTTATAGGTAAGCTTGTTTAATGTCATGACTGGACATCTAACCGCCTCTATGGTCTAGTGGTAAGACCACCTACTTCAGACGCAGTGGTCCCGGGTTCGATTCCCAGTGGGGGCAGATTTTTCTGTGCGGTTTGGTTTGTGGTAGGGCTTGTTCTAAGTCCGCCTGGCTAGCTACCACCATCTTACCTAAGTCTGTCGCCATAACAACAATGTTAACAGCATTGTTGTGTTCCGGCAGTAAGAGGTAAGATAGCCAGTTCCTCCGTGGTTGAGGATTCCGGGTGAAGCTCGCTTCCACCTTCAGCCTGATCGTCACTTACCATCAGGTGAGATACAGGCCAAGAGCTTCCTCGTTGTGGATAAAAAAAACATCATTTTCTCTTACCATATAATGCGGTTGAGGCCCAATAAGTTCAGTTCTTGGCTTATGATCGTAATAATTGATAAAGTGATTGAATCCACATTCCTTTAGAACTGTCGAGTTGATCAGTTGGGGCAAGTTGCAGCATTTTGCGTTGAAATACTGAAAATATACGTACGTATAAATTTTTGAGCACGGCAAATGTCGAGCCAAGTTGGAAAAATTACTATTGTTTTTTTTACTCACATTTCTCATAAACCAGGCAGGTCTACGTTCCCTTGGTAAGTTCTTCTCAAGATTCTCGTACCGACTGAAAATAAAAAAAGATACAAATATTTGAGGCATATAAAATGACAACAGAAATAAAGTTGCCTTATATTTTTTAGTAAATAAACTGTACCTTTGTGTAAACATGTATTTTGTTCCAGCCAAAGATGATACCGGGTAACATCCATCATCCTTTCTCGTACTTTCTTCAGGACAGTTCTGAAAAGTTTTATATGGAAATTTTAGTAATTTAGTTACAATAAAGATGTTATTATTCGTAATTTTAAACTAGAGCATTGCAAACATTATTAAAAATACACCGGGGGGACGCCTTATGTAAATTAATTGCAAAATTACATACACAATCACAATTTATGATATGATCAGCTTACCTCAATCAAATTGTCCACAGTGCAATGTAACAATGCTTGTCCAGGACATGTGCTAACATAATTCCTTTGCCGATGTTCATAGCAAGTCTCCAGGACCCTTCCAACTACGTCATGCCATGCCCCTGGAGGCAGCAAAGACTTAAAAACCTGGGTATACTGCTCACGGGAAGGCAAGGAGTTTGGTAGTCCAAGTTTTGAATTCACACAGCTCCAATTATGACACTAAAACACATTATTATTTTATAAGTAGTAGATTTTTTTTACATACAATTTGGTAATTACATTTTCAAATTACTTACGAGACGTGAATTTTCCAAATAAGATGTCCCAAAACTTGCTTCAGAATAAAGCACCTGGAATTAAATTAGATTCATCTTAGTGAGACCTATATCAATAAAATTAAATTAAAAACCTTAGTTAATTCAATCGAATACATATTTAGTAAATAAGTAATCAATGTTTAAAAGCTAACATGATATCTGGAATACCAAACAATTCGACACTGAACTCAATAGTTATAAGCAAACACAATAACAGTGACTATTTTTTAATTGAGCTTATCTTACAAAAAACTCGTTGTCTCAAGCTAATAAGAATACGTTAAAATAGGTAATACAACAATCGCATCATAATAATACCTAGGTAGATATTGGTAATTGGTACTTAAGACATTAATTACTTAAAGAATTATCAGCAAATGTCTCTACAGTGATTTTAAACTTAATACAAATCCTTATCCTTCAGAATCTAAATATTTAAATAACACAGATATCACAGTCAACCCCCGAAGCTCTTTTTCATTAAGTATAAAACACTTTCAATTTAAAAAATATTAATAAGCTTATTGCAGAGAAAAAATGATCAAATTAATAAAATATTAACTTTTAATTGTAAGAAAATAAATTCACATCCTCAACCACAAAACTTGGCTGTCTTTTTACGCCTGCCCAACAACTAAGTGGCGTGTGAAACCAAACTTAAACCATATAAATTAAAATAATGACACATTATAATCGTTCTCACCGATTGCAATAACAAACAAAGCCACAGTAACCGCATGTTGATTATCGGAACGCTCAGTAATAACTGCCCGGAGGATATTGTAAGTATAAATACATTATAATGTAATGTCAGCTTCGAAAATTAATTAAAATTAAATTTTAGTTTTAATGGATAGGTTGACCTGGTTGATCCCAGTCGTTGGGCTACCGATTCGAAGAATGATAGTGCTCACTCATGAGATAATGATATTAATAATCGCTTAATTGTACCAGAATCAATAAAGAACTAATCAGGTAACGATTCGAGCTTAAAAAATAATATAAAATAAATTATAAATAACTTGAAAAAATCAAACTGCCTAAAATTTGATAAAGCAACTCTTAACGCTTAAAAAATTGTAATAACTAAGTTTAAATAATACTTTATACGTTTAAAAAATATTGATTTTGTATTAAAAACTAAAAATAGCATACAAAAGTAGCTAGGTACAAGAGTTTTGTCTACTATGGATAGTAAAAATCACAATAAAAACTAAAGTATTAGTAACACGTTTAACTACATTCATGTAAGTAGGTTTCATCACCGCGAAACTAAAAGAAGTAATTTGTTAACTTTTCACACGAATAAGTTAAACAAATACTATAAGTAATTAAGTTATTATGCTGACTGTACCACCGGAGAAACTGATAGAGGGGCTAACATCTGGTCGTGAACTCAGATAATGGCGTTAAATTATTTTGCGTACTTGACAATTAAGTGGTGATAAAACTTTTCTAGCACATAAAAATTACTTAAAACTAAAATTAGTTGGTCCGAGTAACATAACAGTCCACCTTATGAATATCAAGATGTTAATTAAATCTTTTGGTGCAATTTCTAACTAAAAAAATAATATAAAAAATACACAACAAACAATTTTTTTACTGATTTAAAAAAGGAGGAAGTTCTCAAATTCAGTAAATACTTTTTTCAATCAGGGCTACCTTATTACGTAGTGCTCGCCAGGTGGCACCACTCTAAACTAAGGTCATTCGCCAGTAGCTAAAGATAGTGGTGCCATCCTATATAGTGAGTGCAAATGGAGTGCGTTATCCTGGCAAAATGTTGTCTCCTTTCAAAAATCTAATGATGCAGTTAATTAGAGCCCTATCTGGTGTAAATTTGCCCGAAATTTTAAATTTAAGCCCTTAAGCCGTTCCAGCAGTATTAAAAAAAATGTATTCTGCCAGGATAACGTTATCCTGCTACATATTTTTACCTGTTAGGCCCAGAACACACGTGAAACGCAACTGCAACTTGACCAGTTTGGCCAGTTCAAATCGGTTTCAACTGGTCGCGTCATGTGTGGTCTCTCAACGGACGCTATGGCAGAAACTTAGCCATAGCGTCAATGAAAAAAGCTTTCAATGGCCCTCATTAGTTGTCAAGTATAAATTAAACCTATAAAGGAAACAAATAAAAACACCGCCATAAATATCTAACATTATTTATTAAATCGCTCCGCAATCAATACGTCAGCTACTTACAAAAAGAAGCAAAAGTAATTTATTATTCCACAAATTGATTAGTACTTCAAACCGAAGCAATCGATTTACAATACAGCCCCACCTAACTGTCGTACATAACAAAACAGTGAATAGATGTTCATATTTACTGACAGTACATAAACGAGCTATATGTTTAACAATTATTAAGCTGTATGACAACAGTGCTATAGCATGTAGTATTCGAAGGCATACAAACAGTAGTGCATTGGTACTAGTATACAAAATCACAGATGCATTACAAAATGTACAAAAACAAACTGCTGAATGCATTTGGCTAGTCATAACTCTTCTTAGTACATGTAAAATTGAACCTGGAACAAAAAGAAATATTGTTAATTTAGTATTTGTAAGATAAATCCCAACTAATCCCAACTAATATTATAAATGCGAAAGTAACTCTGTCTGTCTGTCTGTCTGTCTGTTACGCTTTCCCGCTTAAACCTCGCAACCGATTTTGATGAAATTTGGCATAGAGATAGTTTGAGTCCCGGGAAAGAACATAGGATAGTTTTTATCCCGGTTTTTGAAACAGGGACGCGCGCGATAAAGTTTTTCTGTGACAGACAAAATTCCACGCGGGCGAAGCCGCGGGCGGAAAACTAGTATTTAAATAAAAGTTTCAGTGGGAAAGTAACAATATTTTTTCTAGTTATTGTCCACTTTTTATGCAATACTAGCTTTCCGCCCGCGGCTTCGCCCGCGTGGAATTTTGTCTGTCACAGAAAAACTTCTGTCACAGCCAATACTGTGAGGTTTAAGCGGGAAAGCGTAACAGACAGACAGACAGACAGACAGACAGACAGACAGACAGACAGACAGACAGACAGACAGACAGACAGACAGAGTTACTTTCGCATTTATAATATTAGTTGGGATTTCCAAAATAAAATTTAAAAAAGTATTTATCTACAATTTTGAATGTCCTTGTGTACTCATCTAACTCACAAAGCCTTGCGTACTCACGAAATCTTGCTTTCTCTCTTTAGTCACTTTCGAAGCCTTTCGTACTTATTTAACTCTCAAAATCATTGAAGAAGTTTTGCGTTCTCACTTACTTCAATCAACGAAGCCTTGCTCACGCAACAACTCACTTAAAAAGTTCCCTAACTCACAAAATGCCCTAACTAACTCACAAAATCCTCTAACTCTCTCACGAAGTCACCTAACTCACAAAGTCTCCTAACTCACTCACAAAGTCACCTAATTCACTCACAAAGTCACCTAACTCACTCACAAAGTCACTCAACTCATTAAAACTCACTATAAAATCACCTAACTCATTCACTCACCTAATTCGTCTAAAAGCGGCGCGGGCGCGGATCACAGGAAGGCGCCAAAGCCGAACGCACGCTTGATGCTGTCAAAATAGTACCGCCGCCAGTTGTCGCGCGTCGTATCCACTTCCGATGCAGGCACCAGTTCTTGGCGCAGCGTCACCAGGGTATGGTCGTCCTGAAAACGGTTTTTAATACTTTTTAACGGTTTGCAAAATGACAAACTTAAAACGTCGGACAAAAAAGTTTAGATACAGAGACAGATTATATCTCTTTGAAAAAATACTTTAATTTTATATTATTCCCCTCACCAAACATCTCAAAACATGATCTAAGATCGTCGACGACATGGTTCAGCGAGTGAAGTCCTTGAAGTTTTTTTTGTTAAGTGAGATGCAGTCTAGCATTATACATTACTGCCATTTTGTTTTGTAACAACCCATTGTAATTGAAATGTCTCTATGACTGACAAGGTCATATCCCACAACCTCCAGAAAATATATATAAAAACTTGGTAGGTTTTGTCCCTATTTCAATTTTCCAATCCAGTGTAAAGATGTAGGAACTCCAAAGAGTTAAACCTGACAAATATTGAAAGGCACATTTACCTTCTCCTCAATATTGAACGTAACTTCCGAGAAGTGCTGGTCGGGCCACTGCTTGTATCTCCAGTACTGTGAGATCTTCTTGCCGGGAACCAGCTCTCGGAACTCTCCGGAGATGTTGCCACCGAACAGGACGAACTTGCCACCTTTTTCTGCTTCCATTTTCACGTGTCCCTGTAAAATGTATTAACAAAACTTATGTCTATCCTTTAGTGTTGTCAAATAGAGGATAATATGACCAAGGGTCAAAATCTCTAGAGACTAGAGATGCACCGAATGTAGATTGAACCGAATACGAATGTTCGGCCGAATATTCGGTTCAAAATGTACCGAACCGAATATTCGGCCGAATCATTCGGTTCAAATTTTATTAACACTTAAATTACCAACTAATGTTGACTCTTAAAGTTTCTATAAATTTGTTTATTATTTTCATTTGTGAACGGATGATATAATTTGTTTATTGTTGATTTTAAAGAATTTTATTTGACTTACATTGAATTAAAACTACAAATAGTTATAACAATTCCTAGTTCACCATTAACTAGCATACCTACATACCTAGATAGATATTTATTTAAAAAAACTTATTTGATTTTATAAACATATTTGAATACTTGTGTTGGTTCCTTAAGATAGTAGTTATTACATTACAACTATCCTAAAAAAGTTTTCTGAAAATAGTTGTTTGTTACTCAAAGCAGTGTTGGCAGTGTCCTTAAAATTTTCAATTTCATAAAAATTAAATTTATATTTTTATTTCACAATAAATAATTGGTACAAGTAGTGTCTGGTTCATTTTCAGAAACTATAAAATACTTTCGCTATAAACCACACTTATTTAGTAATTAGTTAACCAAACTGTATAATTAAATATTATTTTTTTAATTGTTAACAATACTTTTAATATTCGGTAATTATTCGGCAATTCAACCGAACATTCGGCCGAATACGAACATGAAAAAAATATGCCGAATGTACCGAATACGAATATTCAACCGAACATTCGGTGCATCTCTACTAGAGACCTAAGTCTCTTGTTGCATATAAAATATAAATGCATAAGCATAAGCTTAGTTGCATATTTCTACTACTTTATCTTCTTTCTTTATTGCTAAGCAATCAGTTAATAACATTACTAGATTCTTGTAAGAACATGGAGATTCTTGGAAGTCAACAAGTAATTTACATTTATAGCCAAACCTGTTAGCTAGATTCTTAACCTCAGAAATGTAAAATTACCTGTGTAAAGGCCGTGACCATTTCTATTCTGGTCATTGCATCGTAAAACTCTTGGGCACGACACTGGAACTTTTCAGACAGCTCAATTGATTTTGTATCTAATTTACATCCAATCTGCTGATTCGTTTTCTGTGCTAGCACTGGCTCCATGCTGATTTTCTTATTAAAGCCACTTGTTATTGTGGAGACGTTGTCTGGTTTGACTGGAGCTTCCCCTTTTTTGGGGAGAATTAGGCCTTTCGAGAACTCCTCTTTGAGACTCCGTACATATTCCTTCAATTGTTTTCTGATTTCATTCTTTCCTACACTATGCATGAATGCTTTCAACCTCTGGGCCTCTTCACCGCTAGTTTTTATTGTGACTGTCATCTGAAATAAAGATATGAAGCTTTTAGTAATGTGGAAAACATTCCTTGACCAATCCTGATGAAGTCAGGAAAATTCAACACCAAATTACATACAGATGCAAATCTCTTGAGCCCTGCATGACATCAAAATGTACATAATAATCAAATGGAAAACTTATCTCAATCTAGATCTCTCCACAAACAAATTTCACTGAATAAAACATGCCTCATACGCATTGGATACAAAATTATTCAGATAAATTGAATGAAACACTGACCTATGCATAATTTGGAAGAAAATTTACTTACATCAACTTCACTGATGTCATTCTCCTCGGACAAATTCGGGATATGGACCTCGCCTTTAACTTTATCCTTGCCTCCAGCCAATGTACCTTCCCACTTCAATTTGATGTCCCATTCATAGAAAAATATTAGCTTCCCTTTCCTGTTGTTCGCTGATGCCTCTCCATCCAACTTCTCCACCTCAGTAACCTTACAATCAATGCCGTTCTGTGCTATTTTTAAATTGTTCAACAACTCCTTGATACGGTCCTTAGACCACGGACCGGCGTTTTTCTCGGTCCAGTGCCAGTTGTTCACGTTGGTAGCGTCCGGACGCTCTTCCACGATCCACCGAGGATCACCTTCTCCCCATTTAGCCATGGTTCTTCACAAGATCTTGACGCAACCAATAAGTCAATGTTGATACACAGGTGCTCAGAGCAAGCAAGTTTACTCAGAAGCTTCAGTTAAAGTTAATCGCGGTATTAATTCACTATCACACACAGTAAATTTATTAAAACTCGCACTTGAACAGCAGTAGGAATCGCAGATTTCGTATTTCGAGAAAAATCGTGCAGTCATAGGAGAGTGAACGAAACCATGCCAGTCGCTTCGATTGACAGTTGCGGTGTTGCAACGCGTTAAATAAAAATACCCCATATTATTTTAATGTTACATTTTTAGTACAAATGTTAAAATGTAAATGATTTGTAAAAAAAAACAAGTTTAGTCTTATGCAGCAAACACGTCATTTAATTTTCTACATAGAAAACCATCAGAATCAAGAAAATGATTGTAAACAAAACGATTTAAATTATTAAACTATATCAAAAAAATAATTCATAATAAACATTAAAATTTGAATTTCATAAGGACAGATTTTTTGAATTTTTCAAACGTCGGATATCTTTTCTAAAGAATAAAATTGACATTTTGACTTATTTCCCATACTGAAACTGTTAGTCTGCCAAATTTATTCTTCAGGTAAAAGTCGATTGAAAAATTAGATAAAATCTAGAAATAAGATTATTATTAGTAAACTGGAACTCAATCGCAAGATTTTTCCCTATTACAAAGTAAAACTTAATTTATATGGCAGCACCATCGTAATTTCTGCAAGTTTCTAGAATACAAGCTTGCCAACCGCAAAAAAATACTCTCCGGATATCAGCGAGCAACAGTTCCATTTTACGCAGATTTGTAAACTCATACGAATTACGAATGAAAATGGCATTGTCATAATGTTTTGACGTTTTAGTCTACCTGTCAAGTTTGGCGCGGTAACTTTTAAAACTGATGAAGATGAGTGAAAACTTGTGAAAAATTATGATACATTATTTAGATTTAAGGGCCCTACCTAACCATACGATCTGGATCTGCATTGGATTTAATAACGAAAAACGCTCCTTTCTCAGGATGAGCTAAAGCTTTTCAGGTTACGGAGGCAGTGCATTGAATTAATAATCCATTAGAATCTTAATGATTATACAGGTTGTTAGGTAAATGGGTATATGAGCCGACACTAGCCCATGTTAACATGGTCATATAAATGGTATGGTGAAGTCAGAAATTTGATAATTATCATTATTTTATTTTTTTTTAATTTTTATACAAAATAAATATTATTAAATCCGATTTGTATGAAAATTAAAATAATTAAAATGAAGTTATAAATTTTCTGACTTCACCATACCATTTATATTACTATGTTAACATGGGCTACTGTCGGCTCCTATACCCATTTACCTAACACCCTGTATAATCTACTTACTTAAGCGATAATAACTCCATTAAACGATAATAAATACCATGGACTAGTTAAATATTAGAAATAAGTACCTTATAATACAACTGACCACTGACTTGACTTCGTTTCAAAGCGAAGTAGGTACTATCGGGGACTCTTCCGCCTGACCACTTTGTAGAAATTTTAGCGTAAGCGCATCGCTCCGGTCACGTGCTCACCCCGTCTCTAATTGGTTACGCATTTTACTATATTTTTACTACGACCAATAAGAGACAATCAGGGCTTAGGTTGCAATACGAAATACCATTGTGCACTTTATTGTCATACGGTTAAGGTTTAAAACGAAATGTTTCTTTTTCTTCAATCTTTCTTAGTTTTAGGCTGAGTTGCACCACCTAACTTTGACCGTAACTATAACGGTAACCGGTGCTTTTTGTATGGAGTTTGACAGATTTTTGACGTTTGTCAAAGTTAAAGTAAGATGGTGCAACTCAGCCTTAGAATTTTAATAATAGAATTTGGTTACAAACAAATAGATATGTATTTTTTTTAATATTGTGTTTTTNGTAGGTACCTACTATTTACCAAAACGATACAGCAGGCACGCTGAAAAACGCGTTCTGACAAGTACGTTCGGGCTTCCACCCGATCACTAGCGACACATTTGTTAGTAGGTATGTGTGGGACACTCTTGCAACTGAATTTAAGACCAGTTTTCCTCAACCGATTGAGCTGAAATTTGGTATACTTATACAGGGTGTTAGGTAAATGGGTATATGATCCGACACTAGCCCATGTTAACATGGTCATATAAATGGTATGGTGAAGTCAGAAATTTGATATCATCATTTTAATTTTTTTAATTTTCATTCAAAATAAATTTGATAAAATCCGATTTGTATGAAAATTAAAATAATTAAAATGAAGATGTGCCGGTATGCACAATACTTAATCAATACTTAACACAATATCAATTTTCTGACTTCACCATACCATTTATATGACCATGACGTTAACATGGGCTAGTGTCGGCTCTTATACCCATTTACCTAACACCCTGTATAAGTACGATGACAATGCAATGTTATGGTACTATTGAGCTGGTCTGATGATGGAGTCATGAGGTGGCCAAAGGAACTCCTAAATGAAACGGTGGCATCGCATCGAATTTGGGTTCGTTGGATTTGTCTTTTCGAGCACTTTAGTACTAGATGATGTCCAGGGTCCTGATGATGGAGTCAGGAGGTGGCCATAGGAATTCCTAAACGAAACGGTGGAAACTTATCGAGTTTGGGTTTGCTGGATTTGACTTTTCGAGCACTTCGGTACTAAATTATATTGTAATTGAACCAAGGCTCTGAGATTGAGATACTACTAAAAAGTGTAAAATAAAATTATAATCATTAAAAAACTTTTTTAAAAACAAGCTTTTATTCTGAAATGCAGTTGTACTAAAACGAAAAAAAAAATTGACCAAGTGTGTGTCGTACCACGCGCAGTGTAGGGTTCCGTAGTTATCCGTCGTTACCACAATATGTATATTTCAGGAGCAAGCAATTACTTCATCTAAAGTCACTTTTAATATTTTCTTCTTAGGAATTTTTATTAGGTATGAAATTTTATAATACATGAGTAAAACGACTATTACTCCTAAAGTTAAGGTTTAAAACGAAATGTTTCTTTTTCTTCAATCTTTCTTAGTTTTAGGCTGAGTTGCACCACCTAACTTTGACCGTAACTATAACGGTAACCGGTGCTTTTTGTATGGAGTTTGACAGATTTTTGACGTTTGTCAAAGTTAAAGTAAGATGGTGCAACTCAGCCTTAGAATTTTAATAATAGAATTTGGTTACAAACAAATAGATAATGTATTTTTTTAATATTGTGTTTTTATACGAGGTCTGTCTGCTTTTTCCTTTGGCGAACTGACGACATATTCTCGCCTTTGTTTTTTTGTGAAGTTTTGTGATCAGTAACCGATTGATTTTGTTTTGTGTTGACCCGTGCTATTAATTGGACTGTTTGATTGCCTTTTTATTGAACTCCGCGCGATTACTGAACCATGCCTCTCAAAATAATTCTTAATTCTTATATTTACTTACAAACTTGTCTACAATAAACATTGTTAACTGTTTAAGTATTATTTAGTTTGAAGTTTAATTGTTATTGATTTAAGACCTTGTGTAAAGACACTTAATGTGCAATAAAAAAATGTATTTGAAATAAAACTAACTTAATATTATAATATTTACGATAACCAATTACCTGGATCATTGCTACCTAGTGCAATATTTGTATTAAATTGTAATAACGTAGTTAGATAAGTGTTTCTTTAAAACGGAAAACAAAAGTTGCTAATGTATTAAAAATAAATAGAAACCTATTATAGGTTTTTTTATTTACATTCAAGGATTTAAGAAAGTTATTATGAAGTTATCTTACAATAATTCTTTTTAAGCCACAAATATTCCTTAACTCTTTACTAATTAATTCAATAACATAATATTGTTTATAAATTATAAGTTCCGAATAAATTAAATACCTATTAAATAAGTAAAATTCGAAAGTAAGTAACTAACTATATGATTTTGTATTTCTCGCCTTAACTAGCTAAACTAATATCACGAGATTTACACTCTTAATCTTAATATCAACAATAATTATAGAAAGGGCTACTTTTTTCCCAGGAAATTGCACAGTTACCTCGGAATGTGCGATACCAATTTTGTGACCCGAGCGGGCAATCGCTAGTTCAAATTTTACACGAAGCCCCTTATAATATTTTGTAGCGATTCTTTATTGGGTTTCAAATTGACTAAAATGCGACGTTGCCAAACGAGCGCTACGGATGCGGGTAATAAGCAATACTCAATCCTAAACGCTTTACATAGAGCTTGGTTTGCAAGGGTAAACATCTACAGTGGTGCGCCGACGCTGCTTAGACGCGAAACATGAATGAAGGGGGCGTAGCATAATCGAGCGTGAGTGTGCAAACAATTTAGGCCCTTAAGGTGTCAAGGCGTTCGAGTCCCCGATAGTACCTACTCCATAAATTAACCTAACCATGGAAGGAATAACTGAAATAACTAGGTAGGTGATTTCATTTTGACCAATAAATGCAATAAATGAAGTCAACATTAGGTAATTTATAGACCTACGATACCAATATTAGATTAAATTACAGTTTGCCATAGGTAGGTAGGTACCTACCTATTTTATGAATTTTGCGTGCTCCATCAGGGAAAGAAACGAATCCAAGACCTCCCAACCAGATAATCTTTGTAACCAATAATAAAACGTACAAATTCCCTAGATTTAATTAGATAAGTGGGTAAGTATGTTCATCTATCCCAGTCCACAATTTAATAAATACACTGCACGGAACGGACGAAATGGCACATCGACTAAACATTGCGGGCAGTAGCGGCGTAAGGGGGGGGCGGTGGGGGCGGTCCGCCCCGGGTGCCAAGCATCAGGGGGTGACACAAGTCACGCAGATTGGTACTCTGTGGCACATCTGCATGGCAAATCTGCGGTCTATGTCATGATACGGGGGGATCAATCTTCGAGTAGGTCCCCCACTACATCGGTAACACCAAAATTCTTCTTCCGGGGGGGTACCAGGGGGTGCCATACAGTCATATTACTTAGTTTATGAAACCGCTCTTCTTAAATCTAATAGTACCTAAAGTTAAACACTTATTTATTAGATTTAGGAGGTTCCCTTAGGTTCCCGGAAAACAATTAGGTAATGTTAAAAGTTCAATTTCCTATATGCACAATAAATTGTTACTAAGTTTTTAATTTAGGTACATCTTATTGTTTTTATGCAAACATGGTTGTCTTACAAGTATCTCTTAAAGTAACAACGTCGCAACAAATAACATTAATTCAACACCATACATCAGCAATTGGTCGCTGGTTATCTCGGTGCGAGAGAGATAACACGACGGCCTTCGCGATTCGACATTATTAAACCAGTCTAAAGCAAGCTGCGCTGCGCGGATCGCACGGCTCTTGTTGTATTCCAAATAAAAACCGCAAAAATGATCCCATTGCGCCGCGTTGGCAGTAAGGTGTGTTGTGTGCTTGCGTTAATTTTGGAAAATTAAAAAAAAGTCGACTGCATTTTCCCGCGGTTTTGCAGATCTTGGAGCAATGGCGGGCGCCGATGGCAGCTGGAGCGACCGCTCAAAGGAAGGCTTACAGCTCGGAGGCGCCCACGCCGCGCCCCCTGACCATGCTCACTGAAGATGAGCTCGCTATGAAGGAAACAAGTAAATATTTTTGACATTTAATGTGGTTGAATCTATTAGCTAACACGTATCGTCGTTATCATCATTTTCACGGTCACTAAACTTGATGATAAGTTAAAAATCTCCATTAGGTTACTAATTAATTGTTAATATTTTCATAATTTTTACTCATAAAAAGTTACACCATAGATACCTCAGCTCAGCTGTTACCGGTTTACTTACTACCACACATACATTCCTCGGAGTGGCTTTCAATGCCATTGCCAACGAATTAAAACAAATAAATTCACGTTATTATTCCGCACGTTAGCTGTATTGACAAATTACATACTAGGTAAGGTAGTATGATGATGCTTACGAATGGTTTCCTAGTTTGATTCGGTAGTAATAAAATAACGTGATACTTCACGCAGACTTAAGACTTAACCCACATTTGTAGCTGTCTATCTAAACGCCCTTGGAGCTCAGAACTTTCGAAGTTCAATAAAAACTGTGAGCACATTATTAGGTACTTTAACCAAAATTGAAAAAGTGCCGAAGACAAAAAAAAAATACAAAAAATGTAGATTTCTGAATCTGAAATAATTCAGACTACATAATTTTCACTTCTCTCTAAGAAGTTTATCAATTCTTCAGACTTTTATATTCTTCATCTCTATTTTGCGCTTGTCTGAATTCACATTTTGGCTACCCATTCCATTCTCGCTTACGCATCGTTACTTCATCAACAATATCAATTTCCCATAGGTCAGCAAAGCTTAGCGAAGCCCCCCCATGGGTGCCCAGCCCACTGATTGCCCAGAAACCCTGGCATTGATATGACTTGTATCACTACTTGGTTATCTTAAACATTCGTAAGTAGGTACGTGAGTGGTATCTTAATGTTTTATCAAAGAAAAACATAATACCCATCTACTTACTCGTACGTACCTACTCAAAACCCTTATCACGTTACCATGTCTTTAAAGTTTGTAGTGGATTTTATGTGATAAATTAATGACATTTGCAAAAAGCCTAATTTGTATGGGTTAAATGACAATCTTACATTTAAAACAGCTAATGTCCACGCCACGGTTACATCTTAGATTTCGAACAAAAAAAGTCCAAAACTGATCTGCCTTTTCACTCCGTAATTTATGTTTTAAAGTTATTTTTGTAACAAAAAGGGATATTGAATTTAGTTTTTTTGAAAGTCTTTCAATCGGATGATATTAATCTTCTTCACTTCTATCTGCTTATACCATATCAGCCTTTGGGTTCGTCTTCGAACATCTAGGCCTCCTCTTCAACCCCATCGACTTCTGTCCCCGGCCACTTGCATCCAATATGTCAGCTTGCTTCTTCTTCATTTATTTCTTCAATATCATCATAGATCCATTTTACCAATGGCTTAGAAGGTAGGCTATTCATTACATTACATGCCATATCATCATGACTGCGCGGAGAGAGTTATAGGCTCTTCTAAGTCAAAAGTAGGTAATAACTTATCTATTCCCTTATGTAATTTTTATCATTTTAAGTTTTCCGGTGTTTTTTCTCTCCATACTATAACGTTGACCATGACTGATATGCTCATATGCCTACGTCATTGACTCCTATTGTCGCAGCATTTCAATATGTTTTCTAAATCAGTATGCAGAATGTCATCGATGTAACTAGGCCGACGCTTTCTCCAAGTAGGTAATCTGGGTCCATCAATGAAAGGGCTTTGTAGGTTTCGGGCCATAAAGCAATTTGTGTCTGTAAAACTACTCCTCTGTTAAAGTTGCCCTCCTCCCTCTATCATATTATCTCAATATTATTAAATAATTTAAGTTCCATTATCAGCGCTTGATACAGTATCAAAATATGCTTATCTTATTTACAGAAGTGAACGCTATGCCACAAGATAAAAGTGTCATGTAATGTAATAGGACTTAACGAGTCAAAGATAAACGAACAAAGAGGAGAAAAATTAGAAAGACCTATCTTTTACTTTTGGTGTTTTAAACATCAAAGGTAAAGAATCCCAAAACTATAAAAATAACATTAGTCAGATAGATAGAGTTTCTGCTAAAGCCTGGTCCGTGAGCACGTAGAATTTTGTCAATGACCCCAAGCTACCCAACCTTATCGCTCGCGCGTTATTATGTTGCTGTCGCGCTCGCACGCTCACTGCAGGCGCCCGTCGCACAGTCGCGACAGCAATATAATTACGCGCGAGCAATAAGGATGGGTAGCTTGGGGTCATTGGACAAAATTCTACGTGCTCACAGACCGGGCTTTAGAGAAGCTTAAGAAGAGTCGTTTCTTCCATATCATTTACCTGAATAAAAACATTGAATGGTTCATGCATGAGTTTCTCAATCTATTTTTGTTATCACTGAATTCTATTATAACGACTACACTGCACTAAAGTTTAAACCTATGTAATGAGTACTATAAACAAAAACATTGCAACATGTTCTCTCAATAACAAATCTAATGTTTATGATTTGTATTTTATTTAACATCTTATGACGTTAAACATAAGCTTAGCATTTCCTCCATGACCTCTAAAGAGCCATTCGAGTTCGCTAAAATGACGTGATTACTATCTGTTTTAATAAATTGAATGCTGATAAATTCTTATCAGCCAATTCGTACGCTTAATTATGCCAGAGATATAAAGAAGACCTTATCATTTCACTGGTTGTTCCATAAATAAATTAATTATGGCTCTCGTTAATCGAAAATTTTCTTCGAAATGAAATTGTTCGCCAAATCACCAAGATTTTTAACCGACTTCAACAAGAGGAGGGAGGTTTTCAATTCGGTTGTTAAAGCAATAGACACTAGGTCCGTACAACAAAACAATGTAATTTTGAGCGTAACTCTGTAATACGGGCCTTCAACTCTATAATAGGTAGTTTAGGGCGTATTTCTTCAAGCAACAAATCATAACACATCAGCCGCGGCGCGCTATTGATACAAAATTATCCAATCAAAAACATCTCTCACAAATGTGGTCAGTTACTCCGGCTCCGTATTCTATTCAGAGAGGAATAAGGAGTTAACTATTTACTAGTTAGTTAAATAACTAAAAGATATTATACTGTAACACAAAAGAATTTAAAGGGTAACAACGATCTTAATTTCAGTCAGAAAACTGGCCACAGAACAAATCGCGCCACTAGTCAGGAAGATGGATGATGAGCACCGCATTGACGACGGCATCAGACAGCTACTCTTCGACAATGGTGTAAGTTCCACGAGTTCCAAGACTTACTCTTTTTTCAATGTAAACTGAACCTAAGAGCCTCAGTCCGAAATAATTTATTAGATAATCCAAATCCAGATCAAAAACCAATCGATCAACAAGACTGAAGCTTTACAAATTTACGCTTTCTAACATTCTTTATGCTGATCCACACCTTCATCTTAAGACATAAAATTCTTGGATCAATTCCTATTCTTTTTCTCAGCTAATGGGAATTGAAACCCCAGTGGAATACAGCGGGTCAGGCTGCGGTTTCCTCACGATGATGCTGGTGGTGGAAGAACTGTCCCGAGTGGACCCCTCCGTGGCCGCGTATGTAGACATCCACAACACTCTCGTCAACTCCTTGCTGATGAAGGTCGGCACAGAGGAACAGAAGAAGAAGTACCTTACCAAGCTGTGCACGGAATACGTGAGTATTCTCTCTATAACGGATATAGATCGTTTCATCCACGCGCCCCACCAATTTTTGGTCGGGGAGTTTGATCCGAGCAATCCGAGCATCATTATTGTAGAGTGCGTGTGCACTCATTGATAAATTATCGTGTACCGATAACAATCAAACATTAGCCGAAGAATGGAGGGGCGCGTCTTCGTGGATGAAACGATCTATACAGGAAGTTCTCCATTGTTTTTGGTTGCATGGTAAAACAAAACTATAAATTATTATTAGCATATTCACACTGCCTCATTATCATGAAACACGTAAGGTACAATACTTTACATAGTTAGGTACTTTAAGATAATTTTGTTTCTGATTCGCGACAATTTTAGAATTGTTTAAACATGGTAGTAAAAGTATCTTTTATGCTTGGCATGCTTTAGGCAGTTGATAAGAGACATCCTAAGGATTTCTCAAATCCGTCGACTGACTACGTTTGCTATTGCCAGTAAACAAGGCATATCAGTCCAGTTCTTCAGATATTAAAATCATCTTCATCCACAGAATTCATTTTCTCCAAGCCCGTTAATATTATCTAATTCCCATCAAAAATTTCTTCCAGGCTGGCAGTTTCTGCCTCACAGAGCCAAACTCTGGCTCCGACGCTTTCTCCCTCAAGACTGTAGCCAAGAAAGACGGCAACCACTACGTCATCAACGGCTCAAAGATGTGGATCTCCAACTCTGACGTCGCCGGCGTTTTCCTAGTCATGGCCAATGCTGACCCCTCCAAGGTAAGTCGTACCGTCATTTATTTTCTGCACATAGGCTTTTAAAAGCACTTTTACTCTACTGTTTTTTTTTTCCAACGAAGAAACTCTTGGCCTGCATCTCACCTGATGGAAAGTAATGATCAGGCCGAAGATGGAAGCGTGGTTTTACTTTAACACTACCACTGTTTCGGATCCATAAAAATGGGCGAGTGATCAGTTGAGATGAGAAACAGCAAGCAGCGCAAGAAACTCAAGTTTTATATGCTGCGTTTTAGATGGAATCTTTGTCTTCTTTTTTAAGTAGGTAGCTTTTTGAGCCGTCTGTTTTGACGAGCACGATTATGTCTCTTGTCGGACATTATGAAATTTTTTTTACCAAACTGGATCCAGCGCAGAAATTTATTCATCAATGGTTGGGAATCAAAGTCAATTAAAGATCTGTCGGTTGGTAGAGTTCAATTACTCAAGATTTCAGTCATTTGCAGTTGGCACTATAATAAAGTCAATGTGCTACTTATTTGATTTTCAGGCACTTAAAATTTAAGTGACTAACTTTTATCCTCCATCAGAATTTTTATCAAGACATTATTCAATCGTTGTTTTTGTTACGAAGACAGGCACTTTATCTCGATTATTAATGATGCAATGGCTAACATTATTAACTTGTTTATTTATTTACTGATCTTTCCGCTGTATTACACAACTCTGTGCACTTTCTTAATTAAAATAAAAATGATAAGTACCTAAACTAGATATTATCATTTATCTACGTGTGTAATTAATATTAGTTACTATGTGTGGCTGTGAAGATTTTATGGAATAGGCACTAGTAAACTTCCCTGACCTGCACTGAATAGATTAGTAAAACAGATTTACGTAAGAGTTAATGTTGTAGGTTTAAACGACTTCACGTCAAGCTATACACTATGAGATCTTATGAAGTTGTAATAAGAGTGTTTTTACAGCAAAAGTGTACAGACTCATGTGCTGTCGACTGTATAAGAGGCTTTGTTCAACGCATGTTAATAAGTTTGAATAAATTAGAAGGATTTGCAACTCATGTTTTACACTGCTCTAGGTAGTAGATACAAAAGCGTAACATAACAATGTTGCTACAGAAATGTTAACTAGCTTATTGCCGCGTCTTTCAGTTAAATTTTCCCTGGGTCTCCCTCCAACTATCTCTCCCATCCTTCTTGCTTGAGTCTCACACTACTGGTTTTCAATTTCAACTTCATAACGTTTCTTTCCAGGGTTACAAAGGCATCACCTGCTTCTTAGTAGAGCGTGAGACCCCCGGCCTGACGGTCGCCAAGCCAGAGAACAAACTTGGTATCCGTGCTTCAGGCACCTGCATGGTCCACTTCGACAACGTCAGGATACCTGAGGAGAACATCCTTGGGCAGTATGGTCATGGGTAAGTTTCAATCTTCTTCATCTTGTAGGTGTTTTTATCACACGTCACAGCTCGTGTCTTCTTCTAGGCTTCTATTTTATAGCCCAATGACATCAAAATCAAATCGTTTACTTTTTGCAAGTAGGTTTCCAAAGAGCACGTCCCAACCCTACCGCTTCTTCGACAGTAATATGGGCCAGTGCTGAAAACATTATTTCCTCAATCAAGGAATCGTATTTCTTTTTGAACTTATTGTTATTTCAAGCTGTCCAATTATTGTTACTAAGCAATGTGGCAACTTAAGGACTTTATAATAGTGGCGACTTTGTAACAACAATCTGATTTGCTGTCATTAACATCATATATGTTTATCTACCTTCAGCTACAAATACGCAGCGGGTTTCTTGAACGAAGGCCGTATCGGTATCGCGGCTCAAATGGTTGGTCTGTGCCAGGGATGCATGGACGCTACCATTCCTTACACGCTGGATAGGAAGCAGTTTGGCAAGAGCATCTACTCTTTCCAGGTGAGCCTTAGGTGTTTGGAATAGGATTCAATGTTCTGTGACAACTTCATTAGGAGATATGCGACTTCTTGAACGACGGCTACACCGGCATAATGCTTCAGATGAACAGCTATGTAGCAGATGAGTCTTGAGCCTTTGAAATAAGGCTCAATTTCGCACTGGAAATACACGATGGATAGGAAGCAGTTCGGCCAGATCATCTACTCCTGCCAGGTGAGCCTTGGATCTTTGGAGTAAGGTCCAATGTCCTGTAGAAGCTTCACGAGGGACTACGCGATTTCATGAACGAAGGCTGCATGCATTACAGTCCAGATAAGGAGCTACTCGTACCAGCAGAAAAGCCTTAGGCTTTCGCTTGGGAAATAATTCGTCACTCCCTAAACTAAGGTCTTGAGTTCTTGTTGACCTTAGCTTCACAAAGCCCTATCTGTCTCTTTTTAACTTTTCATCCGTTTCCAGGGCATCAGTTACCAGGTCGCGCATTTACAAACTCAGCTGGAAGCCGCTCGCCTGCTGATGTACAACGCGGCTCGGCTCAAGGAACACGGCCAGGAGTTCGTCAAGGAGGCGGCCATGGCTAAATACTACGCTTCTGGTAAGGAGAAACCATCACAGTATTTATACATGTCCGACTCATTATATTACATTCCCGTAAACAATAGAAACCGGCAATTTTTCAAACGAATATAGCGAAATATTGACATCGAACTGTCTACGTCCGGCCCTAGCGATTCCAGCCAATATCCGTTCGAGTCGATTTCAATAGAGTATGTAACATACATTTATTATGTAGGTAGGTCTATTGGCGTGGATATACAAAAAATCCTAGATTTAATTTTATCTAATCTCTAGTTAGTATAAGTACTTAGTCAAAGTAGAAGATTTTTGCATTTATTTTTATTAAATTAAATCTATGTCTACAGGGTGTTAGGTAAATGGGTATATAAGCCGACACTAGCCCATTTTAACATGGGCATATATAAATGGTATGGTGAAGTCAGAAATTTGATATCATTTAATTTTTTTAAATTTTCATACAAAATAAATTTTACAAATCCGATTTGTATGAAAAATAAAATAATTAAAATGAAGATATCAATTTTCTGACTTCACCATACCATTTATATAACCATGTTAACATGGGCTAGTGTCGGCTCATATACCCATTTACCTAACACCCTGTATATCACATGGAGGTATTCTATATCACAATACTAAATTAAGGATATTGATGATAAAATATCATATTCATTTTCAGAAATTGCTCAAACCCTAACATCGAAATGCATAGACTTCATGGGAGGAGTGGGCTTCACCAAGGACTTCCCTCAAGAGAAGTTCTTCAGAGACGCCAAAATCGGAACCATTTACGAGGGAACCAGCAACATGCAACTGCAAACTATTGCCAAGCTCATCGAAAGAGAATACAAACAATAAACTACTAACTGACTTTGTAAATGCATTTATATTTTGTAAGGCGGTTTCAATATTTGGAATACAATCTGTAGTAGAGATGAAACGGATATCCGGCAACTATCCGGTAGGCCGGATATCCGGCCTAAATTTACTATCCGGCCGGATACCGGATAGTAGCTCACTATCCGGCCGGATACCGGATATTGAAAAACTACGAAAATTTCCTATAATAAAATGAAACACATTAATCTTTAAGTTAAATATCAATAAAATGGCTTATAATAATTACGGTTTTTATCTAAAGTCCAAAAAGTTACAAAAAAGCCATAAAATATTATTATTAAGGCCTTTCAAAAAACTAATTTCTTTTCTGGACTATTCACTCTAATGACGAATACCTACATAAATAGTAAATATATTTTAATGTCGAAATATTGCCAAATAAAATAGGCGATCTTTTTTTCACTGATGACATACAGGGTGACTTTGAAATCGTTGGCATCCTTTTAATGTAAGAATACTCATGATACATTTTTTTTTATCCCCAACGAGGAAGCTCTTGGCCTGTATCTCACCTGATGGTAAGTGATAATCAGGCCGAAGGTTGAAGCGAGCTTCACCCGGAATCATAGTGCATCAAACATAGTGCATTCCCCAAATATGAGACAAATCCAATGAGATTTTTTGACATTATTTTAACTATGTATTTGTATTAGTGTGCTCTTAAAAAGAGTTTAAAACTATTGTACACTCAACAGCACATCATCCCATACAATCTGTTGCAAAATAAGACTTAATACATTGAAATAAGATGCCACAGTATGAATATGAAGATTGATGTGCTGTCATCTGTACAAGATTTCAAATATTGAAATTTTAATTAAATTGATATGACTCATATTTGGGGAATCATGAGTAGAGTCTTATTTTAAAAAGAATGCCAACGATTTCAAAGTCACCCTGTATAATGCAGTTCAGTCAGATTACGCAGCAAGTAAACTAATTGAATTTTCGCCATTCAATGTCATACGATGGCAACCGAAATCGCCCGAATTAATTTGCCCCTTAGACGAGTGGCAAAATCTGACATTCTATTCGAACGAATTTGATTTTCGAAAAGTGTGACTTGTCTAGTCTACTAGACCCACTGATCGCGTTCGAAGCACCTGTGCGGCGCTAAACTCGTTACGACATGCAACATGACAATGGGACAACTATCCGGCCGCCGGATATCCGGCTATCCGGCCTAGCAGCTCGCCGGATATCCGGTATCCGGTATCCGGCCAAACAACTATCCGTTTCATCTCTAATCTGTAGTACCATTAATCAGAAAAAACTAGTTTAATATGTTAATGTTCCATTAACAAAATCAATTATAATTGCTAGAAAAATCAGTTTTGCAACTTATATTATTGGTGGAACAAAAGGTAAATAATATTATGCTCAGTTTCACTGGGTCTTTTTACAACCCTGTATTGTTAATTAAAAAACTTGTTTTATTTTATTATTGTGTTTTATTTATAACAACAAAACAAAGGCTTTGTACTACATAATATTTAGAGATAGCTATTTACAATAACTATATGTAATATTCTATTAAATTAAAATTATCTACGGTTTCGGGTCATGGGGTAACTTGAATCCAACCATCTTGGCCGTTTCCTCTACGGACCTTTCCCCTTTACCTTTGAATTCCACGTTGATCTCTTTATACATTCTAGAATTATGTAAATAGTTGAAGTAGGTTTTGGCTTTATAGTGCATTTCTTCCGCTGCCTTACAGAGTTGTTGATCGGTAGTCTGGTATTTACGGTACTGGCTAAATATGTACTGTACCATCTGGTTCTCGGCCAGTCTCTTCGTTGAACTCTGCTTTCGTAGTTCTGACAGTAGTTGCCTCAAGGTCACTAGTGCAGGCTTTGTAGTAATCGATGCCATGATTCAGACCTTCAAACAAATCAAATGTTCAGCTTTTCTACCATCAGCGACGTAATAAATTCTTCTGTGTTATTGTAATGAGGTTTGCTGCCTTTTTGCCAAAATTCTGCAGGGATTGTCACTAATTTCTCTTTAGGGAAATAGTGGATAGATGTATCGTTAAAGACATTTGATAGGGTATAGTTGTTTTGCAACACAATTTCGCTTGTAAATGGGTATATTTTATGTAAGTATGGGACAGTCTCTAATAATAACCGACTAGGATTATTTTCAATCAGAGAGCTAAAACTGTTGCATATTATCATGCAGTTTTGCAGCTTTAAATCCCAATTAGCCCATAAAAAGTTGTTTGTTAGCTGTTTAGGGCAGTGAGGTAGATAAGCTATGGTATAATCATTTTCAGAAATTATGTAATTTCCTTCATTATTTTCTGGTATAACTTCAAGCCCAAAATGTTGTAGTACTTCGCATTCAGTTTTGAAAAATATTGGATCATGTACTAGTACTCTCTTGGGCTTACAAAAGTCTCTCAGACACAGCAAAAATGCTAACTGATTTTTAGAAACATTACACGCATAAATGTGGCCAAGCCCCAGACAAATTATTTCTGCTACTGGTTTATCAAGTACTACTGTACTTACAGACTTAATTGCGTCTTCAAAATATTCTGAGCCTTTCATACAATCCACAGCAACTTCTATTTGCCTGAAAAATAACAAAATTTACTGAAATTATAACCTCAAAGGGAAAGAACCGTACATGTATTTATTAAAGAGCAAAACTTACTTTATCAATTTCTCTTTATTTATATTGTAAAGTTTTTCATCATCTAATGATTTATCTGGTAATTTTGAAGGTTTTTTGAATGAATGTTTTGATTTTACAATTTGAAATCCATCAGAATCCACTTCAAATTTTGACATTTTTTTCTGAAGTTTGAAGTTTCTTTTTTTTATTACATTAGGTGTTGCAGCTGTAAAAAAATATGGAACGATGGTAACGATACCGTTATACCATAATTACGATATTCGTAAAACTTGACCTAATTACGTTACGTAGCTTTGCCGTAGATAGATCAATTTTATTGAGCGTTAATCATGATCTCTACTAAAAAAAATTATCATCTCAGCAAATAAGAAAATAGTCATTGAAGAAGCGTAGAATGCTTTGTTGTACGCAAAGTGTAAATAATAATAAAGCTTTTCAAAAATTTAATACATCATTTCTATCTTTAATAATTATTATTAGGAATCTATTTAATTTTGCTTTAATTCCTTTACATTGATTTTACCATCAGATTCACAAAAATATTCTTTTGCGATATCACTTCTTTGCATTTTTGCTGATGATAATTTATCAGGCACTTTGACAAAGTTATTAAAGAAAGTCCCTACCCAGGTGCTTAGTCATGTGGGTTAGGCATAATTACTAATAAAAACCGATAACATAATAATAAAAATAATAGATTACTCCAGTCCAGGATTGTGAATAAACTTAATTTATTGTTGGTTGTAAATAACTAAAATAAGAAGACTGGTGGTGACCTAATAAAGATTTAGCAAGTTAATATCAAGATGCTTATTTATTTTCGTAACAGACTGTTATTGTCCCCTTCACAGTCATACATAATCGCTAAACCAGACTTCATCTATACTAATATTATAAAGCTGAAGAGTTTGTTTGTTTGTTTACTTGAACGCGCTAATCTCAGCAACGATTGAACGATTTGAAAAATTATTTCAGTGTTAGATAGCCCATTTATCGAGGAAGGCTATAGGCTATATACCATTACGCTACGAGTAATAGGTGCAGAGCAACAATAAAAAATTTTGCGAAAACGGATTTTCACGCGTACGAAGTCGCGGGCACAGGTAGTCATAAATGAATTTACAATTTTTGTTATTCTAAACATTTAGTGCAATAGGTAAGTTTGTACTTTTGAAATGGGACAATGCTATTAAGATAGGTTTAAGTAGATTTAAGTGTGTAAAATCGACACAGGCAATAGCATTTATAAGAGTTGGGCTAATCTTTTGTAAAACACGTAGTAATTAACACACTTGGAAGTGTTGGAAGTGAAGCACTACATCATAACAACATTAACATAAATCAGAATAGTTATGTAGTTTCTAATTAATTCGTGCTAATGACTTTCATGGGGATTCTCTGTTTATGTTTATTTGTAAAGCCGACCTCAATATGTGACATTCACCTATTTCCCACACAAACAACGTCCTTGATCGAGTATTTTAGGCTAGGGAAATTGTACTGACACACCGCGACGGCCGGCCCGGCGCATAACAAAACGCTTATTGTCCGTTTTGTATGGGACGACAATCAAAATCTACGTTCGTAGCATTCGAATCACTCCTGTATTGGTTCCAACATACCGTAACACGAATAAGGCGACAATAAAGTGTACCGAACAAATTATTAGTCTACCAAGTTCGAGCACGCAGGACGACGGTTTTCAACGCTCCCTTGGTGCAGCGTGAAAAGTTTTTTTGATATAAAATATTTTAAAACTTTTGTTTTGTGTTCTAGTTTGCTTTAGATGTTCTAAACGCATCTTTTAAACTTTCTAATTGTCTTATTAACGTTGCCGAATTTAGTGGTTCGTACTGTGATAACCGCCTTAGAGTAATCTATTCAGAGAGTTGTAATTAATTCGGTCCGCTTCGTTGCGATTTATATAATATTATAATGTGCATCTCTGTTCGAGATTTGTTTTTATGAAAGAATTTAGTTTTATCACGTCCGCGAGTGGCACCCATCGTGTTACAAGTGCAGTGCTGATGATATACATCGACGCGTGGATAGGTGCTTGAAATGGAACGTTACACAGTGAACCGCCGATCTAAGCGGAAGAACGAGGGATTTTTAACAAAATGGCGGAGGAAATACGTGGGGGGTATCCTGAAGAAACACACTTGGATCAGCAGCGGTTACGATTTGAACGTAAGTAGAGCACTTTCAGTTAAAACACTAACTTCACCAACAGCTAACACAGTAAATTAAATACTTAATTGTTTTAGTGCAGATAAATAAATTATAGCTTTAGGCACTAAAAGCAGTCATTATTCTAAGTTAAGAATAGCGAGGAGTGAGATGCGTCATTTTTAAACGTGACTGTATTGATAATTAAGTCCTCGCTTTTAATTCTATGGTCGAACAATGCCATACAATATCGCACACGTATTATACGTCAAGGTGGACATAAATGTATGGCTAATGTCCTTCGGAAGTATACAGTACTACAGTATAAGTGCCAATATAAATTGAAGAATCTTATCAACCTCAGACCACACACAGGCAGCCGATAGAGTTAATTAAAATATTTCAATTGCGGTGTACAATTATCGTGAAATAGAACAGATATTCATTCGTCATTTTAAGTGGCACTTAAGTGGTTCCTAAGTGGTTGTAGTAGGCCTTTCCCTATCGTATTTATGAACGTCAGACCACGACCCACGGAATTTATGGATTCGAATAGTAGCTAAGTAATAAATGTTACAACACAATCTTCAGGTATTATCACTAAAATCTAAAACCTAGGTAATGAAAATTCTTAATCTACTATTTTTTATCAATACAACACCGTATTGCATACACACGAGTAGATGTTCGAAGGAAAATTCGTTTTCAAACCTGTGTTTGTATTACCTTCCCTACCGTCGTAGAGTTTGAGCTGAGTTATGAACGTCGTTTCATAACGGTCCCATGTCTGTCATGCATTACAAAACGAGATAATGCACGTTATTATCATTAATTTGTCGCCAAGTTAGCTCATGAGAGCAGCTGATCTTTATCTTACCTTCACGCCTAAGTAATAGGTATAATTAAATCATAGGCAATTTGGTATTCCAAACGCAGTTTTATTTGTGTAAGCCTAACCTACACAAGTAAAAAAACTGCGTTTGGAATACCAACTGTAGGTAGGTACTACTACTTTTTTATAACTTGCCTATGATTTAATCCTTCAAGCTCCGCGAATCTAGACACAATAGATAATCAATTGTTATGACATTAATTAATGCCGTCTGGGACTCACTCGGTTAATACTGCTGTTAATACATACATATACCTTAATTTCTTCGATACAATTATCATTCATCTGACGACCTCATACTATTAACATAGCATTATTTTACGACTGACTTCTTTCCGAGAAACCCATGATTTTCAGCTATGAATCCTAAGCTTCATCACAGCTTGACAACGAGTAGAGAAAACCACTGTAGAAGATGCTTTATTTGAATAAGAGTCAGAAGTATTGTCATGCTCACACTAAGGGTCTCTACAATTACGTCCATCATTATAGCAGTCTGTTATTTGCGTTACTTATTATACTTACTCAACCAAACAGTAGGCCGCATCAATACCAATACCCATTAGCATTAAAATGTCAAAGGTGTGTGAGAAGCGGTTCACCCTGAACTATGCAGTTTCTTTGAAGATCACGTTAGTGATAGTTGATGCGAGTTTAGTGGACGATATTTGTGAGGTTACAGTAAAGTCTAGAATCTAGATCCACCCCCTTCCAACACCAGGGAACAAAGATGCAGGTTTAGGGTGCATCTCATGAGATGCAGTTAACATCAGGTGTGATTGCAGTCAGATAGCCCTGCTTTGTTCTGCATACATAAGTTAAGTAGTCCACTTTTGGCATACCTAGCCCTTCTTCGTTTTCTTCTAAGTCGTTCTACCCCTTGCCGTTACTATCTTACGGGGTAAGGGTTAATCTATACCCGTTCATCTTCCCACACATGTTAAATAAGAAATTGTTAGCTTCTTATTACTAAGAAATAGAGGTACCAACCAAATATTCGCGAAATACCTTGATGGACACTTGCTATACTTCTTATAAATATATATATATCAACACGTTATAAAATATTTGTAGTATCAAACGTATTATTAACATTATATTTTAAGTGTATTGAGTGAGTATTCTTTCCTAGGTACTTTCTCTTATCATTGTTATTTATGTGCAATTACCTACATTTCCTGTGTATTCGGGTCGCATTATCACATTAAACCTGTCATGTTGTGTATCGTATGAATAAAAGAACGCAGCCCTACTTATTTTGTTTCAAGTCGGTCACGCTCTTACATCAAGAACGATAGGTAAATCATTATGCTATCACTAATATGATTTACAGCTATTATTGAAAACTCGACCATCCCTTGATAAAGTGTACGTAGACATCTCCTCCTAGAGCATAGTTAAGGTAGGGTATTCGTTTCCGACGGCGGAGGGGTCAGAGGAGGCGACAATATGATCGCCTCCAGTTTCCTCTCCTCGGTGATGGCCAGCGGGCCGGGGGCGTGGGGGCGCCCCCGCCTGCACTGCACAGGTCACCACCACCGTCGGACGGGAACAGCTGTGTGCTTCCAGCTGTTCCTGTCGCCCCCCGTCCTGGGGGGCTTGTAGGGCCCGCCATGTAGGCGGGCAATCGCCGGGAGGGGCTGTGGTAGAGAAGGCTTTGTCCGGAAACCCACAGTCTCCTCCCACTTATGGCGAAGTGACGGAGCACCGGGGTCTTTTTAGTGGGTATGCCTCGTCCTTCTGACGTGGTGAGCCCCACATAACCTACCCTGTCCCCGCAGGGTAGGTATGCGATGCAACGCATTTTTTCCCCGTAAAAAAAAAAAAAAAGGGTATTCGTTTCAGCCAAAAGACGTCCACTGCTGACAAAGGTCACTCTCAAGGATTTCCACGATGACTGCATCCAAGTGCTTCACCTTCACCAGATCGTCGGTCCAGTGGGAGGTCTGCCCACATTTCGTCTTCCAGGTCGTGGTCACTCGAGGAATTTTCTGCCCCAACGGTTTTGGTAGGTTGTACTTAAACATAATCACTTTCACCACACTAATTAAGTATTCCATTGAATCTTCGTGGCGTGACAAACACTTCCTTACAT